AATTCAGGCGATTTTCAACGTAGATGTAAACTTCTCTCAGAAACCACACCTTTCGTTCCAAGAACTTCACCTTACGAGCCACCTTTCAGCATGGGAAAAAAACTGTGCCGTATGTGCCATACAGCACATACACTGTACATCAACAAATGCCACTGTACATTCACATGCATAGACCTGAACCCTCCGCTACGCTCGGACAGAAACGTGTGATGAAGTTACAACCCCACTAGGTTTGCCCAAAGGACAAAAAGCCTGTTACATCCACTTCCCCTTCTTTTGAGGAATCACTCAGGTGATGTTCAAACATGAACAGCGTTGAACAGCTCTCCTTGTCAATGAAGGTGATGTTATCTACTCGAGCATCAGTGTCATTTAGCTGTTCTGCTGCGGGTGTGGACCTGAAGTGTTGCTTTCTCTACTCGTCGAGATTTCGTGTAGAGCACACTGAGAGGGGCACTGTTCAACAAAGGAAGATTTCGTGTAGACCAGGACGAAGGAGAAGTTTGCCTGCAGGAGTAAGCTGTACTCTTTCTTGACTTGGCCGTGGATGCCGTTCATTCTTCAAGTGACTGAGACGCAGGACTGGACCAAAGTTCGAAGACTCTGCTTGTGATTAGGCTACTTAGATTGAAGGACTTATGCTCCAGCCGAGCATCCCTGTCAATGTCAGTCTGTGTGGTGGCAAAGCTGCTCGTGATGTCTGGATGAAGAGACCAACGTCCGAATCCTTGCGCATCAGCTGCCAGGTATACCGAGTAGGCAGTGACCTGTGGAGTTGGCAGTACTTGTTGGGCGCCGTAGGAAGCGTACGTGGACACCGCATCAAGTCCAATTGATACTCAGAGTGGATGAAAGACCATGACACCAATGGCAGCAAAAACATCAAATTCTAAAGATTCTGGCTCTGTGATCCCACCTGTGTGGTATCTAAAGGCTCTGTGAAGTTCAGGATCCCTCCGAACTGATCTGCATCCAGATCCAAATCTTCAAACACCACATCGCTTACCTCGGGTATTCAAACGTTCACAGGTACATACTAACTGCACGCAACGTGTGGCACATGATAAATCGCAATGCAAACGGATGATATTCCAATAGCCAACTATTTGTGAAAACAAGGCCAAGGCTCGGTTGACTCAATATCTCTAATGGCAACCGCAGCAGGAGTCGTCTGTTCGAAGAGAGACGATTTAGTGAAGACAGCCACTTCGGTGCCTAAGAGCTTGTGATACTGAGCAAAAAGCTAAACAAATCAATAGAATAGCGCTTGGAATAACATGGAACAACCCACGAATCAGCGGAACACTCTGAATAGGACGACAGGCTCTGGGGACAACTCCAATTTTGCATGCGAGCGGCTCAGTGCCAAAGGCTGGTTTGCCGCAAGAGTGGTGCTCGTGAGCTGTGGGGCCAAGTCAGCACCCACTTGCGACCTCCAGTAGCGTTGTTCTGCAGTACTTGGCTTAAACTACAGCTTTCGGTCAGTGGTTCCTTGCATTCAGGGCACAAACGTTGCACCAAACCAAGTAATTAATTTAGATTCGAAGTCAATGGTCAACATTGTTCAATGTGCCAGGCCTGTTTCCTCCTTCTGCAAGCCTTGGTAAAAAGTAATAGAGTCACCCTGCACAACCAATGGCACAACTGACTCCTTCCGAGACATTGCCACTCCGTGCCCATCGAGCCACCGACTCCCCCCCTGTAGCTTCTAGTTACTAGAAGCAAGAATGCTCCTAGTAGCGATGCCAGGAGCCCGTAATAGCGTCCTTTCTCCTAGTAGCGATGCCCTTTGCTCCTAGTAGCTTCTAGTTCCTAGAATGCTTTAAATGCTATTGCATCCTGTAGTCACACTGTGTACCAAAGTGGAGGAGCTCTTTGGACATTCATGCTAAGAGCGATGGCCTCCAACCTAATAGCACACCTGGCAAACCAAGGCACAAAAAGACCCTATAGTGCTCCAGCTGAGAGATGTCTGAAGGGCTCTGCCATGAGATCCCTCCGCCAAGCTCCAATCGGTCCAAGTCCTTGTCAATGAAGCTCAAGCCTCCAATGTGGCAACGTTGTACTCAAAAGCCGCAAATGTGATCAAGGAAAGGGACAAGAGTTGCCTGCCACTGTCGCATTGGTGTCAAACAGCAGTAGTTTTTGTGGCGTTGTCTGCTCTGCCAATGCAGAACGGGTGTAGACCTAATTGGAGAAGACAAATATCGTCTAAAAAACACTTTGAGCGCGCATTGGATGTCAACAAGGCCAAGTCAGGTGGTTACTGAGAAGAAATGAGTGGATCTTTGATCTTGCAGCTTGCATAAAGAAGTCCATTGCAACAAATACTAAGATCCAGACCTCAAGCATAGTGAAGAAGCTGAGGCTGGTATCTTCGGCAATGAAGGACTCATTGGCTTCGGCTGGCTCTACGGGACTCACCTGCGTGCGAGGACACAAAAAGGACGCAAAAAGCATTGCGTCGGCAGGACGCAAAAACATGGAAACAGCGTGGCAGCGTGGCACGGCCTGAAATCTGGAAGTTTCATCTGCAATGTACAGCAGAATGCCTGTCACCTCGCCAACATGACTTGGTCACTTGGAGGCCTTCAAACATCCCTCACAGGAGAACAACATACTGCTGCTACTGGTCTATGTCAGGAATGTGAGATCCATGCCCATGCCACACAAGCTTCAGAGCAAAAGATGGCTTCGCTTTTTGATCCGCACTTAGACTGAAAGATGAAAAAGTTTGGAGTCGGCCATTGGACTCTGAAGCAAACAATGGAAATAGCCTTTGAATCTTAAAGACTGCTCCAACTGGCCTTCTCGAAACATAAGCGTCTCTCAGCCGTGCGCTGGAAATACTTAGTGTGTTTCTTGACGTTGCCAGAGATCATGTCATTGAAACTGTTCGACGTTGAATATAGATCTGAAACGCCCTTCGCAATAGACTGGAAGACGGTCTCATGGACCATGACAAGTAGGCGAATCAACAAGTGACTAGCTCGTAATGGCTCGGGTGAACGGATGTTTGTCATTGCTGTATATTGCTCGTTGATGTTCAGGCTTCATTTGCTCTTTCGTTTGATTCACCTCAGACGGAGATGTTAGACATCTTGTCTGCGATCTTTCCATCGATGCGCTTCATGATGCCCTTCAGCTGTGTCCCAGGACCAAGCTCATAGAACCTCAGTTGGAGTTCACAGCCAAACACCCCGGCCCCCAGGACTTCCTTGACTGCCTCGCTCCTCTGGGCCTTTCACCCTCCACCTTGTCCAGGCCATCGGGTCACCAAGCTTCGAAGTCGGTTCACTGGGAAGCCCTGCTCGGTGCATCCATCGCTGATGGCTTGCTGCATGGAAAGCTCCCACAAAACGGGTGAGACCATCTGCTCGGCCAACATCTTCACAATCTCCTCTCAGTGTTCGACGCTACTAGGAGCAAAGGGCATCGCTACTGGGAGCAAGGACGCTACTAGGGGCTCCTGGCCTTATTACTAGGAACAAGAGGACGCTACTAGGAGCTTTTTGAAAGATAAGTGGTGGCTGATCAACGTCTTTTTCCAAGCAATTGCCTGTCTTCCAATAAATACATATCTCTCGTGGACCCATCACGAAGCATGTTGCCAAAGAATAAATCGCTAGTTGGCATGTGCTGGAAAGGGACCTTTGATAGATCTTTCACAAGCACCAAATGTACTTTTGCGGACCCCATCGCGAAGTGTTTTGCGAAGGGAGCGAAATGCACCAAGCCAAAACGATCCAAAAGGTCCTTCTTTACCAAGACCAATCAAAATTAGGTCATCAAGCACAATGGACATATGTTTCAACAAGCGAATTAGCGCCTGGAAAGAAAGGCCAAGCAAGCTGCTGAACTTGATTTAAATGGCCAAACCAACTCTGTCCTGTACCGAGCTCTGTGGTCCGACAGCTTTAGCGCTGGCATTACAATACACCTCAATTGGTGAGCTTGACAGATTGGGACAAAGCAATTTGAAAGGAAAACGAAAGTGAGACAGTGTTTGGATGAGAACTTCAATGTGTTATATAGTGTCACAGATTCACAAAATGCCACTCTGCGAGGTGCACGTGTGCTTGCATTTGTGCTTGACTCAATACTGCTGAGCTCATCGATGTATGCTAGTCAGCTGCTAGTCTTGCTAGTCTATGCTGTCTGGTAGAAGCTTGTGTGTGTGTGTTGACTTGACATTGTTTGCACTGCCAGTCAAGAACAGCCACTGCTACAGAAAGTTTATGTTGTTTCCTCTTGGCACCTTCTATCCATTGGACCTGAGACAATCACCGTGCATCGAGGAGGCATCATTTTTCCTTTCACCGCCTGGCGCTAGTGACAGCATCGATTGGCTGCACTGCATCGACATGTCTGTCTCCTTTTACATTTTACATTTTACAACATCAGAGCTCAATGAACTTGGTCACTGTTCAATTATTGAACACCTTTCTGATACAGATAGTTCTGCATCAATGCAGTTGGTTAGAACGACATCTCCATACTCTCCATCTTCTTGTTCCTAGTAGCTCCTTGTTACTACTAGTAAGGCACTTGTTACTAGAAGCGATGCACTTGTTCCTAGTAGCATCCTCTTGTTCCAAGTTGCTTCTAACTCCTTCACCAGGATATTTCTCACCTCGCAATCGTGCGACGGCCCGTCTGAGACGGCCGAGCCCGAGCTGCCGCTCGAAGACCGGGAGCCGGGCGTCTGCCATTTCACTCGAGTGAAAGGCACCTGCTTGCTTCAAAAGGACGCAGTCCCTGGCGAAACATGCGAAGCACCAAAACAAAAGACTACAATGTTTTCAAACAAATTCAATTAACCAGAAAAGAAATACTCGTTTGCTACGGAAACTAAGGGCAAGCAGCATGCAAATGCAATCGAACACAACACAGCATTATGCAGATCCGTCACAAGCTTGTGACGTTACTGTCAAATCGCCACGTTCATTGACTTGTCGACTTTCAGCTTCGCATCTTTCCGTTTGGGATCTGACCACTGTCTATCCAACTGGCCAGAGGTGCAAAGCTCCTGCAGCCTTTGCCTTCTCTACGAAGCTCTCAACAGCGGAAAGGCTGCCGGAGACCTACAGCTGAGGAAAGCATTTGTGCCCAAAAATGTCGCGCTTTTTTGTTCAGTTCTGTTTCTTTGTTGTGCATCACTTTGCATTCTTTGGAATAGCAAATTGTCCCAGCAGCTGAGAAGGCACGGGAGAAGAGGCAAGCAGCAATCTGGCAGTTCTCGCCCTTGCTGGAGCTTGCTTTGCCTCGGGAAGATTGAAGAAGTTCCACTAGGATCCACTAGAAGAGTCTTCAATTCATCTCTGATCGTCTCTACTTCCCTGCAAATTGGACAGATTGGACAGGCTTAATATAATTCCCATTCAAACTCGTGAGAAATAGAGTCCACTGATCTCATAGGTATGGTCAGCCAAATCTTCCCGGTCCCCACAAGACCTGAGAAACCTGGCCGAACAGGAACTGACTGACATCAGTTTCTTGAATTTGGAGTAAGTAGGGACGGGGGTTCCGTTTTACCTAAGTGTAGTATATGTTATACAGACATGAAGCAAGGACGCCATTAGGTGGAGGCCATGGCAAGTAGGTTGGAGGCCATCGCTACTAGTAGCAAGAAGCTTCCTTCTTTCTTTAGACCTTTCGATGTTTAGAATTTAAAACTATCAAAACTCCTGGGCCTTGTGGCCTTGAGGTACCTGGGTTACCTTAATGCCCCTATTCTGGCCCTACTGACCCGTCTGCCAACGAGAACACTCTCCAAAATGCTGACAGTGGTGTGCTGTCGCCTTAACACACTTGAGCAACAGCGCAACACCTTCGGACCTTGAGCTTTCCGATCTTTCCGGATTCCATAGGATGCCCGGCAGTGCTTCTCCACCGAATCCTTGTCCAGGCCCACTACCAGGCACATTCCCTGCGCCTGCGCAGAGTCAACAACTATGCACATCGAACATGCCAATATGAAACTTAATTCTATTTTGATTCTATCTATATTATTTTTTGTTTCTAATGCTTCTTGTTACTAGTAGTAAGGCCCTTTGCTCCTAGTAGCTTCTTGCTAGTAGTATGGCCAGGAGCCCCTAGTAGCGTCCTTGCTACTGCACTGAACAGTCTGTCGTTTCAGGGCCTTGGCACCAGGACGTGCCCCGGAGACTTCGAATTCCATGGCCTCCGCACGAGCCTGATCATGTGCGCACTTTCGATTGCAGTTCCGATGGAAGGTGTAACGATGTGCGATGTGTAAGGTGTACGTGGCAAAAGCCGGACATGGGATGCTTGAGTCTCCCCATTTAGATGCATTTAGGCTGTCAGTTTCCGCCGCTCTTCAAAGGATAACCACGGCAGTTGACAACAATTGACAACTCAACTATGAATCGCATGGGAGTACAAGGCACTCAACCAGCTTTCAAGAGAAAGAATACAATGCACATGGCAGTACGCTTCTACGCGAATTTCAGAGCGATACGAAGTCTGTCGGATGCGAGTCGTGCCTTGATGAGGCGAAGACCTGTCTCAAAGTCGAAGACACCGGCGCAGGTCAGCGCTGCGTACTCGCCCACTGAGAGGCCTGAGTGCACTGAGTGAGGCACTGCGCAGTTGAACAAACGGCATGTAGTGCATCGCTACTAGTAACAAGGTGCATCGCTACTAGTAGCAAAGGGCATCGCTACTAGTAACAAGGTGCAAATTTCAAGCTTCACAGACCGAGTCTACTTTCTTTGGAGTCACCCTGCACAAAGGTAATTTAACAGCTGAGTCGGTGGAGTGGCAAGCAACACTTTTCCCTACAAAACGCCCCTAAAAGAACAAAAGCTTGACCAGCACAAGCACAGAAAGCACAGCATGTCTCATTTTCGACTCGGTGAGCTTTTCACTCTGACCCTGTGATGAGCGGCATCAGACACTCAGGTCCAAATTCAGGCGGCACATATGGCCACGTGCTTAGGCACATGCTCGAACATGGTCGAATGATGTCAATGTCCTTCTACATCCTTAGGCAAGCCTGCTAGCAAGCCTTGCACCACTTGAAGTGTCAGTCTCAGCATGTCTCAACCAAAATCGAGCCAGCCCTTGGACAGTTTCCGACTCAGAACATTAATCCAAAGAAGATCCATACCTGAGTGCCGCAAGAGTCGCACCCTATCGGCATCTATCGGCGAGAAGCTATCACACCTGACAAGCAAATGTACATCACATATCCTTTAATGTTTCTTAATGATTGTTATGTCAGCCCAGGATGTAGATCCACCGCAATCTGCACACTGCGCTGTTGCAAACTGCTCCACACCGCTGCCCAGTCACGGTCCATCAATTCCAACGTATCTTGGTCGACACGACCAACTCGGCGATCCAGGTGTGTCTCAATGGCCAGGCGCAAAGCTAAGTCGTCCAAGAAAATTCCGAGGCTCAGCTCTTTTAAGAGCTGTAGGACCTCAAATGGCTCGAAGGTTTACACACGTGTCACAGACATGGCTTATCCATGCTCTCATCCTATCTGGTTGGCACTACACAGCGGCTGATGATATTGACGTATTCACTGTCTAACGATGAGCTGTAAGGGGTCGGCCTCTTGCCAGCGTCGGGCACCGCGGCACGTTGCGAGCAAAGCGTTCGCGCTGATCGTGTCAACCTCTCAGTCTCAGCTTTCAAAGCAGAGATAGACGGTCGGAAAAATAAGCATGTTTGGAAGCTTGGCAAAGCAAAGCACGCGAGTTGAGGCTGCTCTCCAGCATCACAGATCAGCCAACAAGCAGCAGGCACTGCTGCCTCTAGTTGAATCATGTTGAATCTGCCTGAGCTAAAAACTGCAGTGCAAGATTGCGCAGGTCACACGTTACCCATCGTTACAGTACCCTGTGTGCGCCTGAAGGTCTTTCTCCTTTGCCCACTTGAAGAGTTGCAAACTGCAAATCCATTGAGCAGCCTAGTGGAACACTTCGAAAGGTGCGGCAAGTTGCCGATTACGGTGTGACTCTGACTCGAAAATGGCCAAGTGCCAACTGAACCCTTGCTTTGCTCAAGTGCTGAAGTCCAAATTAAATTCTATCGGACTGCCAACATTGCTTGTTTTGAAAATTACCAGTAGCTTTCACCGGGCCTTTTCACAGGCACTGCAAGCCGCATTAAATGAGATCACATTGGGCTCGCAATTGAAGTAGCGCCTAGCACAGGCTTCTCTCTGATGGCACTGAATAAGTCGTCCGTGGGGCCTCACGCTGCTTCCCTCCGCTTCCCACACCATGCTCTTAGGAGCAACACATAGCACACAACCACGGAAAAGATAGTAAAAGAACAATGTGCCGATCGAGTGGTTCGGCGCGCCTCAAGTGATGTCCAACAGCTTGGAATTCGAGGATCAGAGCTGCTTTTCGTTGGTGCACGTAGTATTTGGGCAAGGTGGAAACATATTGCTTCATCGTTGTTTTTGAAGACATGAAACGCCAACTCCAACGGGAAAAAAGCAACGAAACAGTAATAAGTTCCTCGCATATATTATATATCATACCATACAATGACCTCATATATCAGGTCATCGACAACATAAACAATATCAAAACGAAACCATCCCCCCCGCCCCTTTTAAAACACGACTGACCGATGACAAGTTCTATGATAATTACTGATGACAACAAAACCACCCACACTCCCCGACCCCGATCAAATGGTTCGCGTATAGTCACAAAACCCTGCATGCACCAATAAATTAATGCTCCAGACACCCCGATTTGAAGGGGATTTAACATCTGCACTCCGCGCCGAACCATCCGATCGGACCCAAGAACAAGGATGGGAGGTGATCTGGCTGCATGTTAGGTTTAGGCCTCATTCCCAAGGTCAGTGCAATAGCACGAATCCAGGCACTGCCCTTCTCTTGCGCACTGATGGCAGCGTTCAAAAGTGTCCTGACCATGTTGCATGGATTCATCTTGAAAAGGTACAAATGAATCATGGATAATCATGGTGTACAAGATTATACAAGCACGAGTAACAGGTAGAAGACATTTCACTTGCCCCTCTCCTGTCCGTGCATATGTGCCTGGCAGTCATCAAATCTGTCTATGACACAGCTGCATCAAATGATGTCGTTGGAATGCAGTCTGCTGAAATTGTGACAAAAAAAGGAAGCTACCCCTCATCGCACGTTGGTCGCAACGTTCGCACTTTAAACAACTCCTCCTTGTGCGACAAATGCGCAAAGTAAGTACCCAATGAGTTCCCAGTTCCATTCCAGGGCTCAAAATTCAAGATTCAGAAGGAAAGAGACTGAGACGTCACTGGCACACCGATGTTCATTCTTAACCCTGTTGCACCTCTCTTGCGTAGTTTGTAAGCCTTCCAGAGCCCATCGCCACCGCAAGCCCTTCTCACAAGTGCTCAAAAGAGAGCTAAAGCTGATGGTGTCCTAGAGACATCTCACGACGGTCGACAGGTTCCACATCGAAGAAAAGAAGCGGTTGCACAATGTCCGAAAGCTTCTCTTGTTAGCGTTGATATGCTTTAAGATGTTCAGGTAAAGTGTGGTTAACAATGATTAACGAGAAAACCCAGGACATCACAGTACTACTGCTAGAACAAACCTCAACTGTCAAGCAATACCTCGGAGAGTCAAGACTTCTGAAATGCACGTGTAGAAACACTACACAAAAGATTCATCATGCGAGACTATCTAAGACTTTCTGCCCCACAAAAGCTTCACAACCCGTCCGGCCGCAAACCGCAACTCTCACTCAGGAAGATCTGGGCCAAGGCCCCCTCCTGAGCTTAGAGCTTAGCAAGGCAAAGGGCACCTTGAGTTCCTGTTTACAAGCACCAACGTGAGAACAAGAGTTGCCCTGCCCACCGCAAGGCCAAGCATCCCACGAATTGCTGTTTTCAAAGGCGCTCAAGCAGCTGTTCATGGTCTCCACAAAGGCCCGAGATGTGTCGCCTCATAAATAACAAAAAAAAAGGTTCAAAGCAAAGGATCGAACATGCCAATTAATGTTGCCGGGTAAACTATATCACATCCTGGGAAGACTACGCATACAGCCCACATCAGCCTACCATCTCTATCTCTTGCCTTCAAGCCGAGCAAAGTGCAAAGCCCGCTCCCAGTCTTGTCGGCACAGGCGGGTCGTCGCCAGGTAAGTAGCCTTTGCAAATGACGCTGCAGAGTACCATCACCACTGCGATGACTACTAGGTATCAAATTACATGCCAACTTTGGGGTTGCAAACTGTGACTATATGGGTAGATGTCAACCGAAGATCGAAAGTGCCAACTGACAAGTCGAGTCACATGGGACAAACGCACGCTGCGGGATTGACAATGCCCAAGTGTGGTCAAAGCCACAGGCCAAACTTCTTCGCAGGCACCGATGAAATTGTTTGTGCTTTCCTCACAATCACAAAACTTCAATTCCTCGTTCACATTCGTTCATCATCCATTTCAGCAGGAGTGGATTTTCTGGCAACAAATGACACCTACATGGACGCGACATTTTGGATATAGCGACTGTGGCTGTCCAAGTTTCTCTAGATACAGCTGAGGATTCTCTGGGGTTCATTCAAGTGGATGAGTGAAAGCATTCGGCTCTGCCAACGTTGCCAAGCAGCGACACTCTTCTCATCCTCGAAACAGACTTGAACTTGTGAATACTCCACCAATTGAATGCTCAATCACAAAAAACTTGAAACAACCCAAACAAAACACAAGCACACACTCCTAGGATTATAGCAAAAGGTCTTAAACGTCTAACTAACCAGAGTTTACAACATCGTACAGTTCCTTCACTCTGTGCCCAGCTCAGTTTCCGCCAAGACCAGCGCCTGGCAAGGCAAAGGCCAGCAAGAACATTATTCTGAAGATTCGTGAAAGTAATAGAATAGCTGATGAATGGTTGAATATGTGCATTTATATATATATATATATGTCAAAATGTATATATAATGTGTGTGTGTGTGTTTTTAGACGAGGACAGTTTTGTGACAGCTTCATTCAAGAATCTCGCTGACATGACTTCTCTTTTCCAATGGCACTCCGACGGATTAATTTCCACCCCGAACAAAAAGCTATAAACTCATTTCAGGGGGGAAGTTGATCTGACGGAATTCCACTGTGATCCTCTGTGATTCTCTGTCATCCTCTGTAGGTTGTAGGTCGTGTATTCATAGGCTTGTTACCAACTGTTGTCCTGCCTCTGTGCTTGATGATTCAGATGCATGAAGAGCCCTGGTGAAACGTTTTCAACGGGCCTGTTTCCACTTCTTGGACTTCGCTGTTGCTGACAACAAGGCACCTTCAGGAATCATATCTCGGAACCAAATTTCAAGAAAACTTTGTGTCGTGGAGATCAAAAAATGTTTCCAAGCTGATTATACAACTAACTGCTGCTAGTCTCTAAGACTGCTGGCTTCTATCTACCATATGCCCCGCACGACGCAAGGACTGTGGCACAATTCCTGGCACAACATTACATATACCAGGATATACCATCCCTTTTGGCACTTCTGAGTTTCCTTTGTTTCTTATGATTGTCATTGAACTTCTTGAAAGAAGGTTTGCATCACTTGCGAAGGCAATCAGGATCCCTGCCTGTGGAAAAAGCATCAGGCATGTACCCGGAAGCTCGAACTTGCTGAAACTCTTGAATGCAGCGCCGCCAATCTTCGCCTCCGTGGTGCACACTCCAACGATCTTTTGCACATTGGACTTGAGATCCAGCACGTGATCCCCTCAATTACCCCAAATCACTTAGAACCGTGGATTGAACACGTGTTTCTCGCCCAATCCCCCATATCAATCCATATCATGCAGCAGGCAGTTGTTTGCATTCATCACGAATACATTCCACCAATTAGGATGTTTCATCAAAATGCAAGTCATTCGGACAACACTTGATAATGGATGTTGATACTGAAGCTCTCCCAATTGATCAAAGTTACTAGATTGGCTTGGGTGGGTGCGTTTCTCAAAAGCCTGCTGTTGCAGAATGGGTTCGCCATGATGCGCTCTCTGCTAGCAGCCTAAAGCGATCTTGGAGGTCTACAGCTCATTCACCCGTCAGGAAGCCTGCTGCAAGGCTGCTTAGAGCAGTGTTCCTCAGAAGTCTCACACGGGTCCAGGAGCCCCTAGTAGCGCCCTTGTTCTTCGTAGTAGCAAGGCCAGGAGCCCCTAGTAGCTTCTTTGTTCCTAGTAGTAAGGCCAGGAGCCCCTAGTAGCTTCTTTGCTCCTACTAGTAAGGCCAGGAGCCCCTAGTAGCGCCCTTGTTCCTAGTAGTAAGGCCAGGAACGCCTAGTAGCTTCTTTGCTCCTGTTCCTAGTAGTAAGGCCAGGAGCCCCTAGTAGCTTCTTTGCTCCT